CCTCTCACCGAATCGGGCTTCGCATCTGACCCTGTTACCTAAGAGGGAAAGGAGGAGGACGACGGCGCGATGAAAACGAAGACGACGACGACGAAGACGACGACGACGACGACAACCACGACGACGACGACGACGGCGGCGACGACGACGACGACGACGATGAGGACGACCGGCGACGAAGACGACGACGACGACGACGCGACCGCGCCGGAGCGGCACCCGCGCCAGCACGATTTGGAACGACCAGCGGCGCGGAAAATAGGACGAACGCTGCAGCGGGAGCAACATTCTGAAGGACCGGAAAGACTCGGATTTTCAAAAACATAGATGAAAACCAAACTCCCGGGAATCCTGTGCGGAAAAGGACGCCGCCCAAAAGGGGGGGGGGCTTTCTGCGGCCCCAAAAATCAACGAATCGACACCGGATGTGTAATCACCTCCAATGTTTTTGCCGGGGATCATTTTCTAGATTTGGGGCTTCTTAAAAAGGATCGAAAACGTCGGCGCTGCAGCGGGAGCACGTTTTGGAACAACGAGAGGCGCAGAAATTGGGCCAGCGCTGCAGCGGGAGCACGATTCGGAACGAGCGGGAGCGCGGAAATGAGGCCAGCGCTGCAGCGGGAACACGATTCGGAAGGAGCGGGAGCCCGAAAATTAGGCCAGCGCCTCAGCGAGAGCAGCATTTTAGAAAAAAACACAAGCGAAAACCCAACTCCGGGGAATCCTGTGTGTAAAAAAACAGTACGCGGGGGGGTGCCGAACATCTTCCGGACGCCATCAGGGGAAGTGGGAGAGTAGTATTCATATTGTGTAATTGTGGAGGAGGAGGAGGAGGAGGAGGAGGAGGAGGAGGCCTGGCAGTTTTTGTGGGCTCCTGCCAGCGAGGCACTTTGTGGAGTCCGTCGGCCTGGACAGCGAGGCCACAGGGCGCCAAACTTCAGTCGGGCCTGTCCCTCTACAGGAGGGATATTCAAAGGTAGTCAACAAAACAGTCTGGGGACGATTCTTGTATGACATGTTTGTTGCTGGTGTGGGGTATTTTTGGAGTATTTAGTTTGTTTTTTGCCCAAAGTTCGCCTGTAGGGGGACATGCCCGACCTAGCGCCAAACCTGCACCCGCACGGATCCTGGGCAGGCCGACATAGCGAGCACAGCATCCGTGTTCCGATCCGTGGCTTAAGTCGGGCCTGGCCCCCTTACAGGAGGAATATTCAAAAATAGTTGTTTGTTAAATCGTATGGGGACGATGTTTGATTTTTTATTAACGTTGGCAATTTTATTAACGTTGGCAATGTTTATTATTTTTATTCTTCGTCCAAAATCGGCCTGTAGGGGGACATGCCCGACCTAATCCTTGGCCCAGGATCACCTTTGGAGCTCTCCGGAAGTCTCCGCGGAGGCTTCCGGCAAGGCTTACAGAGGCTTTCGGAGGCCGTCCGAAGGCTTCCGACGGCACTCCGCTTGGAGGTATGCTCCAGACGATCGACATGATCACAACTACCAACCACATAGCGATCGCTCACCTATATCCAAATGCGTGTATGTATATGTATTTGTTCGTGGCTGTCCTCGTATATTCATGCCTGTCTCATAGTTCAGTAATTTGTTGTTGTTGTTGCTGTTGTTGCTGTTGCTGTTGTTGTTGATGTTGTTGTTGTTGTTGTTGTTGGTGTTGGTGTTGGTGTTGGTGTTGTTGTTGTTGTTGTTGTTGTTGTTGTTGTTGTTGTTGTTGTTGTTGTTGTTGTTGTTGTTGTTGTTGTTGGTTGCTTGTTTGATGTGTATGTGTGTTTGTTGTTGTTTCCCCCTTCAGCTTTTCCCAACCATCTTGTGGTGCTAGGTCCTCGTTTTGAAGAGACAGTCCCCGCGTCCTCATCCTCGTCTCCTCCCCCTCCCCCAGTAGTGGCCCGATATAGAGCTCCACCGAAGGCCCCAGTGGCAAATTCCGCATGCGTCTCCTCCTCACCTCTCCTCCTCCCCCTCGTCCCCCTCTTACTTCGGTAATCCCCCTCGTCCCCCCCGCTCCTCCTCCCCCTCGTCCCCTTGCTCTCTGCATCAGTCTACCAGTTCGGTACACCCCGCACACGCTTCGTGTCTACATACGGAGCTCCACCTGAGGCCCCAGTGGCTGGGTCCACATGCGGCTCCCCGCCCAACGCCTGTCCATGTCGGCACACCCCTCACACGTTTCTGGGCCCACCGAAGGCCCAAGCGGCAGGATCCACATGCGGCTCCCAGCCCACCGCGTGTCCATGTCGGCACATCCCTCACACGGTTCGTGGCCCCACAGGGAGCTCCACCGAAGGCCCCAGTGGCAGGGTCCACATGCGGGTCCCCGCCCACCGCATGTCCATGTCGGCACACCCCTGACACGCCTCGTTGGCCCATGGGGACTTCCACCGAAGGCCCCGGAGGCAGGGCTCAGCGTTCGTGTCGTGAAACTCGTCGGCGGCACGCTTTGGTACTCGATCGAGGATCGCGGTCGGTCGAAGATCGGGGGTCGACCGAGGATCGAGGATTGAGACGCTCACTCCTCTTCACTCACCGCTCGCCCTCACCCTCCTCGCCCAGCCCCAGTCTTCACTCCTCCTCATCACATCATCGTCCTCACCCTTCCCCACCCCCCCCTCCCCCCCTCAAGATGCCGCCCCGACGCCTGCCATTTGAGTGCGCCCGCGGCCCGCAAGCCGTCTCTGCTTGCCTGGCCGCACCCTCGCCCGCTCGCCTGCTCCACCTCCTCCTCCTCCTCCACCTCCTCCTCCTCCTCCACCTCCTCCTCCTCCTCCTCCTGCTCTTCTGAGCGCCAACCTCCTCACGCGCCTGGCGCTGCCCAACCTGAATAAGCTCTTCGACGGCGAGAACGGCATCCCCAACTCTGTCGCCCGCCTCAGCGTGGCCACCAGGATGTACCACCTCACGAAGGAGGACGAGCAGCCCATGACCTACCACAAGCAGTACACCGCCGCCTCCGCCGCTCGCCACGCGCTCCACCTACCTCCCGACCTGACGGGTGGAGCCGGCGCGCCGCGGCGCGGCTGATCGAACATCCGCCCCTCCAGGCGACGTTCGCTCCTCCTCCTCCTCCTCCTCCTCCTCCTCCTCCTCCTCCTCCTTCAGCGTCCAGCGGGCCTGGTGAGGAACCATAAGTTGGCGCAGGCGCTGGCGGGTGTCCTCGACGGCGCAGGCAGCGCCTTCGGCTTGCAGGGGCGCGGCGCGGCGGGCCTCGCGCGGGGCGCGCCCCCCATCGAGCTCGCGCAGGCCACGCCCCTGGCGCCGCCGCGCGGCCATGAAGAACATGCAGCGGGCGGACGAGCTGGAGGCGGCGGCCTACCAACAGGAGCGCACGTGGAGCAGGAGCACGGCGCGTGCCCAGCGACGCGGGTCGCGGGCAGCTGCTTCGTAGATGGGGCCGCCGTGTTGCGCCGGGAGCACGAGGTAGCGATTCGCAGCAAGGATCGCGTTTTTCCCGAGCTCGATCACCCAGGAGTGCCGCGCCTGTTCCCTCGCCCTTGCGCTCGCGGGCGGGGTCCCCCTCCCCGCTGCCGCACGAGGGGGGGGGGGGGGGGGCATATCTGAGCCGCCAACCTTCGAGATATCAGTGCCTAATTACTTGGCTGGGCTGGGCGGGCGCGGGCAGCGCGCTCGCGAACGACAGGTTGCGCGACCAGACCCGTCGCAGCCGCATCGCACACACACACACACACGCACACACACACACACACACACACACACACACACACACACACACACACACACACACACACACACACACACACACACACACACACACACACACACACACGCGTTCGCAAGACGATGAAGATCCACACCTGGAGGCGAAAGGCGCCATCAAATACAGCCGAAGCTGCTCGACTCCTCGCAGCAGCTCGGAGACGCGGCGCGGCGCGGGGCGCTGCCGAACTCGCATTGCGGGCGACGCGCACAGCTGATGCTGGACAGTACAGCTGCCTCCTCCTTCTCCTCCTTCTCCTCCTCCTCCTCCTCCTCCTCCTCCTCCGCCTCCTCCTACGGGGCAGCCGTTCTGGCGCAGGTTTGCGCTTGCTGCAGCTGGATTCAGAACGGCGATGCTGCAGCGAGCCTGGTGGCTTGATCACGATTTTTGGCGCCTCCTGGAGGCAGAGGACGAACCAATGACCAAGGCGCCGCCGCCATGGCACCTTCACCGCCTCCTCCTGCGGCTCTCCGTGGGCCGAGGCGGCCAACATAGGGATGCGGACGGTGCGCTGCCTCATCGATTAGGCATCGCGGATCCGTTGTCAGTGTAGCAATGAGGCCCCGATGCGGATCAGGAAGTTCGCCTGGGACCATCACAATGCGATCGTCAACGGTGAGAACCCCCCGCATAAGGGCAACAAGAATACGAATGAGAAGAATGATCCGACTTCCAGGAAGTTGGCTGAGCTGGGGAAGATGCTGCGGACCCTCGCGTCGTCGAGTGGTTTGGGCAGCTCGCCTTTAGCAAGCACTCCTCCAGCCAAGCCGCCACCGTGGAGCTCCACCACGCCGGCGGCAGCGGCCAACACGAAGCTGATTTCAGAAGATGATGGTGACAAAACCAGGCGTGAGAAGCTGGCGATGCAGCTGGCGACGTATGAGACAATGCTCAAGAACCTCCCCGGCAACGGTGATGAGGATCCAGTCAGGAAGGCTACCCTTCAAAAAGTGCGTGAGATCAAGGAAAGGCAACATCCTTGCGCATGCTGAGATTGCCAACCGCAGAGTCGCGCAGGACCTGCACAAGGCCAAGATTCAAGGAGACCGCCTGCAAAAAGAGTCTGGTGAGAAGGAAAAGCAACTCAGAGAACTTCAGGAGTCGATTGAAGCGCGCAGAGCACAGCTGGCAGCGAAGCAGGCAGAGGTCACTGCGCTCGAGGCGGAGCACAAGCAGCTCGCCGCCGCGATCGCTGCCAGTAAGACCGAGTTCATGACATCTCCATATCCACTGGGGATTTTCAGACGGATGAGCCCAAGGAGTTTCCGGCATCCGACATGTGGACATCGCTCAAGGAGGTCATTGTGCAAAAGATCAAGTCGGGCACGGCCTCTCAGCCGACAGGTGGTCACGTTTCTCTTGCTGCTGCTGCTGAAGGGTCTGATGCATCTCATGGCGCTCGCGCATCCGACCCCGCCGCTAAGAAAGCATGCGATGAGTTGTCCGAGGGAGAGCTTAAAGAGTTGTTCGAACATGGAACGAACAATGATTTCTCCAAGTTTCAAGGGGTCCTCAGAGAGCTTGCCAAGAAACAGCGACGTTCCTGATGGCCCTGCACGATGGACGAATGATCTGGTGGAGCAAGGTTACGCACCCATTCGGGTCTCTGGTTTGCCGATTGCCCAGGGAACGACGGAGTTACCCCCTCCTGCTCAGGCTGGTGGTCACTGTGTTTTCGAGTGTTTCAATGGCAATGGTGGCAAGCAGACGGTGAAGGAAAATATCAATATATCCTCAGCACACGTTCTTCTGCTGGAGGAGATAGGATTTTGCGACGGCGATCTGGAAACCGAGGAGGAGGAGGAGGAGGAGGAGGAGGAGGAGTAGGAGGAGGAGGAGGAGGAGGAGGAGGAGGCGGAGAGGAGGAGGAGGAGGAGGTGAGGAGGAGGGGGGAGGAGAGGGGAGGAAGGCAGGAGGAGGAGGAGGAAGGAGGAGGAGGAGCTGGGAGGAGGAGCAGGGGAGGGAGGAGGAGGAGGGAGGAGGAGGAGGAGTAGGAGGAGGCAGGAGGGAGGAGGAGGGAGAGGAGGAGGTGGAGGAGGGAGGGAGGGAGGAGGAGGGGGAGGAGGGACAGGAGGAGGAGGGGAGGGAAGGGAGGGAGGGAGGTGGAGGAGGGAGGGGGAGCAGGAGGAGGATCGTCTCCCGGATCCTTCGACCTTGAACGACCAGCGGCTCCTCGAGCGCCCTCGGTGCGGCGGGCGCCCTCCCGCGAGGGCCAGTGGCAGGCGGTGCTCTCCCTCGGCCAGCAGCAGCGCCTGGGCGCCGCGCGGGAGCTTCTGCGCCGGGGAGTGCGCCTCGCACTGCTCGACGAGGCGACCTCGGCGCTCGACCTGGGCAACGAGAGGAAGGTCCTAGGCCTCCCAGATGGGGTCGGGATAGATTGGGGGAACGAGGAATGACAGAAACAGAAAACTCGGAGGTCCGCGCGGATTTCTCGGATCCGCGCTGGACCCCCTCGGCGGCGCTTCTGGCGCCGCCCCTGGCACGCTCCGCGCGCCAGGGAGGGGGTCCAGCGCCGATCCGAGAAATCCGCGCGGACCTCCGAGTTTTTTTGTTGATTTAATTTCTCGTTCCCTTGCAGATTGTGGGCAGATTCAGATCCACATCCACTGCAGCTTGGAGTTTCGGGCCCCCTTTCCCTGGACGCCCGAGGCGCAGTGGACATGGATGAAGTGTCTGGCCCCTAGAGGCTAGATTTTTTCATCCATGTCCACTGCGCCTCGGCCTTGTGGCGCCCCTTCACAGAAAGTCCAACACGCAGTGGATATGGACATGAACCTTGCCCGCGTAGATGGGGTCGGAGGATCGTGCCGCATCGCCGATGCATCGGCGATGCATCGGCGATGCGACTCGATGTCGATGCAAATTGTTCCATGCCGCCGTCGCCGGTGCATCGGCGACGTCGCCAGTGTGTCGTTGATGCATCGGCGATGCATCGCCGATGTATCGGCGGTGCGGCGAGATCTTCCGACCCCATCTACTCGGACCCCATCTAAGAGGCCTCTAAAGGTGTACAGCGCCCTGATGCAGGCCTCGATCAGCCACGCAAAGGGCGGTCTTGGGGGAGGGGGGAGGGCTTCAGGAGCACCCCCGTTTTTCAGAAGGCGCGGGCCTTGGCTATGGGTGGAAGGCCGGCTTTTCTGAGAAGAATCCCCCCCGTCCTTCCACCCCCTTTGTACGCGCCGCCAAACTCGAAGGATAGCTGAGCTCATAGGAGAAAGCGAGACAGATCCCGGTGCTCGTCCTGGAGGGCCCTCGCCGACGCGGTGAGATTCTACTTGAAGTTCTCGTCAGAGCGCACCTCCGGAGGGGTCCGGGCAGCAGTGGTATCGTCATTGGTTTGGCTCTCCAAGGGTCTTTGCGCTCCATCTGTAGTCCGTAGTCGCTCCCAGGCGTGGGCTGTGCGACGATTTTGTTGTGGGGGCTTCGTGCGCACGATCTTGTTTTAGAGGGGGCAGTTCACTTCAGCCCGTTAGGCGTGGTGTGCACGACACCAGCGCGGGCCGCCTTGTATTGTAGTTTTGGAGATGTCTCCTTAAATGTGGCTTCCATGGTAGCGCGGTGACTTCGGACAAACAAATCGTGACACTTTGCGTATCCCCACCAGCGAGGGACGCGTTTTGGGTATACGACGGTCCCGTCCCTCGGGTGCCACCTGATACGTTTATGGGTGGCGCTGAGACACTTTGGATGTGTACTTCCGGCTGCGTGTTCCTACCGTGTGGCTTCGTGCACACTGCTGCGCCCTTACCAGTCGCTCGACCAAGGGCCTGACGCATCTCACTTGTGGAAGGTTCTATCCGGCTACTCTGTTTCCACACCCTGGATGCGTGTTCTGACGTCGTTGTTCTGATCCGCCGTCAGGGTTCCCCGCTGGACTGTGTCGCAAGTCAGTCTGTTTTACCCGTCAGACTCCCTGGATTGACGTCTTCGGGACCGTTCCTAGTTGTTCGTATCCGAACTGTTGGGAGCGCCTTACGCGCCATTTTGGCTGCGCTCGGCTTCCTCGGTGCCTGTGTTCAGACCCCCTGGATGCGCCGTTGCATGTTTCGTTCAGGGGCTGCCCTGCAGACTCCCTGGATTGCACGCCTTGGCTCAGACGCCCTGGGTCGCTGCTGCCTGCCGCCTGACCGCGGCCTCGCGCGCGCCCGCCGTTAGTCGCGGCCGCAGCCCGACCGCGACCGCCCGCCGCTGGCGCTTCCGCCTGCGGCTGTAAAAAAAAGTATCCCCACCAGCCCAACCAGAAACGGTGGCCATGAGAGTTGTTTTGGATAAGGCGGCTGATGTGGGGGATGAGGAGAGCGAGGAGGAGCAGGACGAGGAAGAGGAGGAGAACGAGGAGGCGAACGCACAAACGTTCCAGGTCCGCGCGCCTCTCTCGGATCGGCGCAGGACTCCCCTGGACGCGCCTCCGGCGCAGCCCCAGGCGCGCTCTGCGTGCGAGACTTTGGGGCCCAGCGGCGATCCTGCCTCTGCTGACGACGACGACGACGACGACGACGACGAGGAGGAGGACGACGACGACGACGACGACGACGACGACGACGACGAGGACGTCGACGACGACGACGACGACGAGATCCGCGCGGGCCTCGGAAAGCATAGAGACGGACCGAGGTGCAAAGGTCGAGGCCGGTTCGGGGAGGCTGCCCTGATGTTCTTCGTGTCTGCTGGATGTCCTCGTGCGAATGCTCTTCAGTCTGGGCCCGCCGAGGGCCTCATGCTCTTGAAGGACGTCACTCTGTCCCAGGTCCGACCCTACGTATGTTTCTGCCGCTTCTTCTTGCTCAGGCAGTCCCGAACTACATATCGGTGGCGCACCGCCCCTCCGTGCGCGAGTACCACACCCACGTGACCGTGATGACGATGAACCCCCCAGAGCTGGACGCCGCGCTGGCGGTCGCGAGGTTCTCGACGAGGGAGGACTGCGAGTTCGGCGAGGTGGACAGCCACGCCCACTCGCAGATGGAGGGCAATCGGGAGGAGCAGGCGAGCGACGCACCAAGAAGCCGTCGTCGCCGTCGTCGTCGTCGCCGTCGCCGTCGGCGGCGGCGTCGTCGTCGTCGTCGTCGTCGGCGTCGTCCTCCGCCACGTGCGTCGGCGACCCGTCGGCGTGGCCCTTCGCCGGAGGGGCCCTTCGGGTGCTCGGCCCGCGGGGGCCGCGCAGGGGCGTGGGGGGGGGGGGGCCAGGCCCGAGCATGCCGGCGGCCCCGCGGCTGCTGCAGCGCAGGGCAGCGATCGGCGAGCTGCGCACCAGACGAGGACGAGAACGACGACGACGACGGCGACGACGAGGACGTGGACGAGGACGAGAGCGACGACGACGACGACGACGACGACGAAGACGAGGACGGCAACGAGGAGGACGACGACGAGAAGCGACGAGGAAGCCACTCTTGCGCGCAGCCGAGCGTTCCGCACGGGGCGTCTGGCCGCATCTGCCCCTGGCAGCCTGGCAGAGCGCAGCCGGGCTGGCCGCGCGGACAATCTGCGCGCAGGCTGCCCCGGGCAGGGACCGCGCGAGGGCGCCCGCGGCTCTCCGCGCGGTGCGCCGCGCTGGGCGGTGCCCCAGGCGCAAGCCGCCGCGCGAGTCCGCGTGGGGGCGGTCGCGCCGCCGTGTCCAGCTACGGTAGGTTTGCGTCGTGTCGACCAGCGGCGACCCCAGCGCGGGCGTTCAAGGTTGAACGCCGCCGGCGACCCAGAATCGATCGATGTTGAACGATCGGACGTTGCGGCAGCGGCCGATCGTTCAAGGTTGAACGATCCCTGCGGTGTCAAAAACCAACGCTGGGGTCGGTACGACACGAACCTGCCGTACGCGTGGGAGTGACCTTTCGCCGGAGTGCCCTGACTCCAGATGTCGGAAGCCCACCTGTGTGAGAGGCCGAACAGGTAGGGCGGAAGTGTCTGCACCCAGCACAAAAGAGGGCGAGCACCCACAGAAGTGGGGCGGAAACGGCAGCAGAAAAGCAGGGCGGAAATCGGCATCCGCGGGGCTTGAAAAGTGAGGCGGAAATTCCAAGCCCTACTTACGAATTTCCCCAAAGTAGGGCGGATCCAGAGTCAGGGTGGCCTTCGGTGAGGGCCCACAGGTGTCCCCCCAGCACCGGCTGGCGCGCCTGCACTCGGCTTCCCCGCGGCCCCCCGAAGCCACGCGCCGGAGCCAGAGGTCACTCTGGCATCGGATCGCTCCTGCGTGTAGCCGACGTGTGTGCAGTCAACCCGCATAGTAAGGGTGGGCCACTTTCCCAAAGGTGCCCTTGCATCCTTCCCTCCTCGGCCCGTTCTTGGCCACTGGCGTTGGCCGCGCCCCGCTCGAAAAGCTTGGAAATGGAAATGGTCGTCCAAGGCTCGTGCATCCTCATCGCGCATTCTCATGAGACGGGTCGGCTGTAGTCGAGGCCCCTCTCCCTCCTGCCGCCCAGGTGTGGGCCATGAAGCGGCTGGTGCTGGAGATGCGAAGATGAAAAAGTGGCACGAGCCTGAGCTCTCGGGGCCCGCGCGGGTTTCTAGGATCGGCGCCGGACCCTCCTGGAGTTAAAGTCGAGCCTGCCCCTCTTACAGGAGGAGATATGACAACGTAATCAACAAAGAGCCAGGGGACGATTTTTGGGCACCTGTTGTTGCTCATGATGTGCTCGAGTGTTTTAAATGTCTTAATTTTGTAGTTTTCTTTGATTTTTTTCTGAAAAATTGGTTCGTCGAAGATCGGCCCGAAAAGGGGGACATGCCCAACCCGAGCCTGGAGGCGCGCGGCCCCGGCGCGCGCCGCGCCGACCCCTCCAGGAAGCCCGCGCGGCGCTCCCGGGAGCTTACGTCTCGGCACGGTGCTGCGCTTCTCGCCCGCCCCCCAGGAGACGGGGGGCGAGCAGGGCGGGGCCGCGGGGGAGCCTCCCGCGGAGAGCGGCGCCCAGGTCAAGGAGAGGGCTGGACCTACGAAAAGCGGTGTCCTTGGCGATCTCGTGGGCCGTCTTCGTTTCGACGTCGTTCTGCGGTGAGGCGGCGGGCTCGAGGCAAGAGCGAGAACGAAAACAAACGAAAACAAGACGAAAACGAAAAACGACGTTTAGGTTTAAGTCGGGCCTGTCCCTCTGCAGGAGGGATATTCAAAAGAATAGTTCAAACATAGTCTGGGGACTATCTTTGGACTATTTTTGAACATGTTGGGACAATTTTTTTCAAGTATTTTTCATTTCTCGCCCAAGATCCCCCTGTAGGGGGACACGCCCGACTTAAGTTTAGGTCCAGCCCCGGTCGAGGAGAGCGGGGGCGCCCCGCACGGGGAGATGCCCCGGGCGCCGGGCGGCGGCGGCCCGCCCAAGGAGGCGCCCAGGCCCCTGCCGGACCTGAGCCGCTCGGAGGGGCCCCTGTCGCTCTTCGTGCGGGCCGTCCGGGACATCTTCTGGCCGATGTTCACCGAGCGGCACGTCATCCGGCCGATCAGCATGGGCTTCACGCTGACGTACTTCTTCTCCTACCTCGGCGTGGCCGTCGAGATGTACTTCGGGTACCCCATGTCCAGCATCATCGGGGTGATCCAGTCGAGCACCAAGCCGGAGCACTTCTGGAAGTTTATGTATGACGTAATGGTGTGGTATTACATAGTGAAGTTGGTGTTGGAGTTTGCCACAATGTACCAGCTGAGAGGGTTCCATTCTACGACTCGCATAACAATTAAACGGGATCTGGCGCAGCGATACTTAGATCCAAAGACTGATGCGTTTTACCATTTGAACATCGGCAATTTCTTGCAGGGCAACCCTGGCTCACGCATCTCGACGTGGGACACTGATTCAGCGAATGTGTGGGTGAATGGGATATCTTCCACAATGGCTGGAGCTGTCATGGCTGCAGCTGTAGCTGCAAGAGATCTCTACAGCATGGACAAGGACGCGTTTGTATACTTTGTGTGTTTTGTATTTGTCGGCGCGGTGTTCTTCCACTGGGCGGGCAGCAAGCAGATGGACGGCCTCGTGAACTCGGTGGATGCCACCACCCAAAACAACAATCGGCTCTTGCACGTGAGAGAGAACGCAGAAGCCGTGGCCATGATCCACGGGTGCGACTCTGAGCGGCTGCGCACCTATATGTATCTGGACAAGTCGATCGGATACGCGTCCTCCTTCCAGTGGTGGAAGGACTTGACCAGGATACTGGGGGTCTTCTACTTCTATCGCTTCGCCAACATCGGCATCACGTACATCACTGGCCCCATGGTGCTCAGCGGGCACCTGTCGTTCGAGCGCCAGAACATGATGACCAGAGGCATCATCGCGGGCAGCTGGCAGATCATGCAGGTGTTTGGGTCGATCCTCACGAACGTGGAGGGCCAGCTCGCCATGGAGCGCCTGTGGGAGCTGTCGATGGTGACCTGGCACATCAAGAAGGGCGGCCCGGGGATCTTCGGCCAGAACCGCTGGGGCGGCGACATCGCGCTGGAGGAAGACGCTGCCCTCGAGGGCACGCTGGCCCTGCACGACCTCGAGCTCAAGACGCCCGCGAAGATGTCCGGGATCCCGAGCCTCCTCGTGCCACACCTCTCGGTGCGGCTGCACTACGGCGATACGCTGCTGGTCGCGGGCGAGAGCGGCATCGGCAAGAGCTCCGTGCTGCGCGCGGTCGTCGGGGGGACTGCTTGGGGCATACGCTCGGGGCGGGGGGGATGCATCGACCCCCCAGTCGACCATGGATCGGCGATGGAGGCTCGACGGCCTGCCCCGCCCAGGAACGCGGGGAGCTCTTCTATCGGGGCCCCGTCGCCGATGTCTCGGCGATGCCCCGCCGATGTTCCAGGTCCATGTGTGCCTCATTGAACCAGTCACCCCAAACCCTCTATCTCAAGGGAGGGAGGACCACCGGAACCCGAGAATTGGCGTCAACTAAACGGCCTCGGGCGTTTCCTAAACAGCCGCTGCCCTCCTCGATTCCTCCTGTGGGTGCGTTTACTGAACGGCTTTGCGTGTCGGGGTGATTACGATAGGGGTGGATTTTCTGCCCTCTGCTCCCAGACCCCCGACGTCGTGTTTTTTTTCACGACGTCGACCCCCAGAGGTCTTAGCGAAGAACCTCCCGTCGTGATTTTCGTCCCGGCTGTCGTCCCCCCGGTCGTGAGGAGGTCCGGCTGTCGTCCCCCCTCAGGTGGCGGGCCTTTGGCGCAACGGCCGGGGGACGATCACCGTGTCCGACAGCGACAAGTCGCTGTTCGTCCCCCAGCGGCCCTACCTCTGATGGGCTTGTTTTCCACCGCCACCACCATAACTTGGAGGGGGAGGGGGTCCTCCTCCTCCTCCTCCTTCTCCTCCTCCTCCTCCTCCTCCTCCTCCTCCTCCATCCTCCTCCGCCTCCTCTCGTCATCTCCTCCGTCATACTCTCGACGTCCTCCTCCTCCTCCTCCTCCTCCTTCCCCCTCCAACTTATGGTGGTGGTGGCGGAAAACGGGCCCATCATACCTCTGCGTCGGCACGCTGGCGGAGCAGCTGCTGTACCCGCGGCGGGTCTTGCCCCGGGACCACGGCACGCTGGCAGAGCGCTGTGGGGTCTCCGAGGATGGGATCGAACGCCGCGACGGCCGTGAGATCCTCGAGGAGGAGAGGAGGAGTAGGAGGAGGAGGAGGAGGGAGGAGGAGGCGGAGGAGGAGGAGAGAAGGAAGGAGGAGGAGGAGGAGAGGGAGGGAGGGGAGGGAGGGAGGGAGGGAGGGAGGGAGGGAGGAGGGAGGGGGGAGGGAGGGAGGGAGGAGAGGAGGTGAGAGAGAGACTTAGGATTTTCCTCAAGAAACATAAGAAGAAGAAGGAGGAGGAGGAGGAGGAGAGGAGGAGGAGGGGGAGGCGGAGGGGGAGGGGGATGGACGAAGGGGAGTGGGAGGGGAGAGGGGGAGGGGGAGGGGGGAGGGGGAGGGGGAGGGGGAAAGGAGGAGGCGTAGGAGGAGGAGGAGGGGAGGAGGAGGAGGCAGGGAGGAGGAGGAGGAAGGAAAGGAGAAGAAGAAGGATAGGGAGGAGGAGGAGGAAGGAGGAGAAGGAGGGGGAGGGGAGAGGAGGAGGGAGGTGGAGGGGGAGGCCGAGGGGGGAGTGGGAGGGGGTACGGGGGAGGAAGGAGGAGTAGGAGGGGGAGGAGGAGGAGGAGGAGGAGGAGGAGGAGGAGGAGGAGGAGGAGAGGCCCAGGAGGAGGAGGAGGAGGAGGAGGAGGATCGAACGAAGGTCGTAAGATCGGACCGTTCCGCCCTCCTCTCGCGGGCGGCCTAGACTCGACGGGGCTGGCGAAGGCAAGACGTGGCGGGGGCGCCAATCTCTGCGGAAGCTGTGCGGGGCTCGGGCGAGAGAGACGTGCCGCACGCGTGCGCGCAGGGAGGCTCCCGTGCCGCTTGCAGATTTGGTGCTCGCGCTGTCAATGCTCTGCTCTCCTAGGTCAGGCGCTCGCAAACATGGATGAAGGGGGCGTGAATTAGCGACGGGTCCCGTTTCCAGGGGACATCGCGGATTGCCGCCGCCGAGCGAGGCGGCACCGGCTGCATTTTGGGGATGGCACCTCCCCCGATCCATGGATTTGGCGACCGCGCGCCAAATCCATGGATCGCTAATCCATGTTTGCGCGCCCCCGATCCTAGGGCTTTGCAGCGTCGTCCGCACCTTGCTTCTGCATGCCTGAGCTCCGTAGCTGCCTGCGCGCCCTCCTGTGCTCAGCTGCGTTCCTGCTCTCATGGGCACTGCGCAGGCCTGGCGAAAGAGGGGGGCTTTGAGAGTCTCACTCACAATGCGTGCGAGAGGGAGGGCCGGAAAAGGGGGAGGAGGAGGAGGAGGAGGAGCGAGGAGGAGGAGAGAGGAGGAGGAGGAGCGAAGCTGCTGCGCTCGCGGGACCTGCAGACACGAACGACGGCGGGCTCCGCCGCCTGATGGGGCGGCATGGCTTTCGTGCAAGCTGCAAGCGGCATGGTCCCCGATCATGGGATTGGTTGCCCACGGGCCAGACTCACGGGAGGGAGGGGGAGGCGAGGGAGGGTAGGAGGAGGGGAGGGAGGGAGGAGGAGGAGGAGGAGGAGGAGGATGAGGAGGAGAGGAGGGAGGAGAAGAAGAAGAAGGAGGAGGAGGAGAAGGAGGAGGAGGGGGAGGAGGAGGGGGAGGGGGAGGGGAGGGGGGAGGGGGAGGGGGGAGGGTGGAGGGGGGAGGGGGAGGGGGAGACTCACGGGTCGTGTGGCCGGCGCAGGCCCCCAGTGTTGCGCCCCGCCGCCGGGCGTGTCTTCCCTTGGACGCCGTGGCGCCTCTTGCGCCAGAGGAGGCGCCGGAGGAGGAGCCGAATTTCGCATTGGCGAACACTCGTGCCGCATGCATGTGTCGGTGCCCCCCGCCCAATCTGATCGATGTTGGCGGTGGGTCGAGTGAGCTCTTGGCATCGCTCGGACGTGTGCATTTTTCCTCTGGCGAGGACCATCGAGGAGCATCCCTGATCATTTGGCGAAAAAACCACGCACGAAACCGAAAAAAACACAGGGAATGGACGTCCGAGCGATGGCCAGAGCTGCACTTCGGCCGCAGGCTTTCCCGCGCGTGCCAACTTCGGGTTTTGGGGAGCGGGGGGGGGGTCCGCTGATTGCTTCCCTCTGCCGTATGCCCCCCTCCCTCGCCCGCGCCGGAAGGACAGGATCAAGGAGGTGGTCCGCACAGTGGGGCTGGCCCATCTGCTGGAGAACCCCGGGCTCGACATGCTGTCGAGGAGCGGCGGTGGCACACGCTTCTGGTTCACGGGGCTGGCCCCCAAAGGAGCACGCCGACTTTCTCCACCTTTCTCCTCGATCTCCCCATCCGCCCATGGGGCTCAAGACCGCCAAAGACAAGGTCGACGCGAGGAGGCATCCATGACGGAAGAGCTGGCATCCAGAATAAAGGTCGACGCTTCTTCGTCCAGCTCTCCCTCCTCCTCCTCCTCCTCGGCCCTGTTCCCCCCCACCATCGCCAGGTTCCTGAAGCTCTCCCTCGGCGAGGCGGCCCGCCGCCCGCGCCGCGGCGCCGCCCCCCCCCGCCGCGGCGCCTCCGCGCGGCGCCCCCGCCTCGCGGCCGCCGTCGCCGCCGTCCTCGCAGGGCGCAGGCGGCGGCGTGGCCGTCGTCGCCAGGCGTCCACGGGTCGCGGCGAGAAGCGCGCACAGGCGCTCGCACGTGCACGCAGGACCCCCCTGGGCGCCTCGAGCTCGCCGTCGTCTTCGCGGGCGGCGTCGGTGGCGTGGCCGTCGTCGCCAGACGTCCTCGGATCGCGACGAGAAGCGCCTGCATACGTGCGCACATGCGCGCAGGACTCCATGAGCGCTCCGCGCCATGCGCCGTGGTCCTTTTATACATCACTGCAGATCTATAGTTGTCTATATTTGTATATTCATATGTGTGCACTGCTATCGTTCTATGTG